TCTTTGGTAACATCTTTAAGAATTCATTGTTGCTTACCCCCACTCTGTCCATGGAATTCTCATTATCCTTCTGTAGAACTACGTGCCTGTTGCTTCCAAATTTCCTGTTTCTCAATTCTTTCTTTAGCATTTGGAATGTATCTTTGGCTAATCCAATGAGTGCTCAAATTTCCGTATGACATTTTCCACCCCCTGTTTAAACACTTCCCATATATTTAAAATTTTATTTGAAGTGTTTTGCATTTACTAATACCAAATCCTGGATTTTTAGGTTGGATTCAGTGTTATTACTTCTTTTATTCCAATTCCAGATCATCATTTTTGTTTTTGGAAAGGTTTGAGTCCTATTTCTTGGAACACTCGATTTTACGCCCAAGCTCATTTTTATTCTAACTATGAATACCTATGTCATCAGCATTGCATCTTTCACTTCATTATCAGTACATTGACCTCGGGAAGGAAAACAAGACAACTGATAAAGAACAAGGTCACGATTGTGAGTCATGTTGAATTTACTACTAGAATAAAAAGGAACTTGCCGAATTTCGCCCCATAACGAGGCTGAAGAATATTAAGCCCAATTAGTCTGATACAAGTGAGACATTCTTTGACTACTGAACTCACGATTATAAACAGTTAGTAGTAGGATGGGCTGAACATGTGAGCAATGACGAATGGAAACAAAACTTATACTTAACAGAGGCAGTTGGAATTTCTGGGACACGTAATGAGGAAGAAGGGAAAGATGGACAGGGAAAAACAACGCGTGATATACTTAATGGGCTTGAGCAAATGATGGCAGAACAGAGTCTGGGGAAAATAACAAGACAAAACTTATTAAGATTTACAAGAGACAGGAGGAAGTGAAGGGCCATGATCGCCTACGTTATGAAGGGACATGGCACATAAAATTGGCCGTTTCTATATTAGAAATATTCGGCATTCATTGACCGAATAGTTAATATCGGTTGAAGTTTATGAAATCTTTTTCTTAAAATTTTTTTTTTTTCGGAAAATTAGACATTTCAGGTCCACTAAATGTCATAGTTCTTTCTATTGGTGATTCGGCTTTCCTTCTAAACATTGTATTTTTTGTTAAGGTAGAAAGTTAACAGCTTGATTGTATCCTTATATTTTCTCTTCTTCCGTCAATTACCCACGTTGTATCTAGTGGAAGATTTCAAATGAGGTATTTTTTTTTAAATTGGGAAAGTTGTTTGTCAATCTATATCATCTTTGTTTCTGATCATGCAGCGACAGTCTGTAGGGTTTGATTAAGAATGGGATGGCCATATTACGTTGAAACGCCGAAGTTAAGCAACGTTGAGCCTGGTTAGTGCCTAGATGTTAAGGAATACCAGGTGCTGTAAGCTTAGATGTGCGTTGATATAATGGAATTTGAAATCGGATAGAGTTCAAATTCCAGTCGGGTTTGGTATATTCACATACAGGCAAATAACCCTCGGAAAGGTATGAATCCATTTCTTCCCTCCCCAGCTATGGGTTACTTAGTAGCACTTTTATCAGTAACTCATTAGTTTAAAAAATTCCTTACAATATAAAAATCTTTTCTGGCTTTATATATAAAAAAAAAAAAGTAAAAAGTTGATAGACTGTACAAAAGCAATCTATCATGATAAAACAATTATATATATAAATAAAAATAAAAGGTGGACTGTTACCCTCATGTTTGTCGCCATACTTATTACAACGTTTCGGCCTTCTTCAGGTGGTTGGAATGCCGAACTGAACACTTTATTTCGCTCACTAGCGTAGACTGTTCTAGTTCCACGTTTTAATGGATGTCAGTTATCTCCCGTTAATTCTACTGCCATAACCGGGTATTGAACTCACACTCTTTGGGTCCTGTCACTGGATCTAACTAACGGCTTTATCAACTCATGTGTTCTTGAGGACATCTGTGTATGAATTTCTGGGTGTTATAAACCTAATGTCATCAGTAACTATTTTTTACCAGTGCTCATATTGCAATTTTTGCTGTTACCATTTCATGTTTTTACCAGAGCTTAATATATATATATATATATATATATTTGTATATTTAGGCAGCAATCCTTCCTTTATGCATGTTTATTAAAAACGACAGACAAGGTACTACGGTTGAGATTTTTATTTAATTTTTCTTGTGTTCTGACAAGAGCTTTCTTTTCTGGACAAAGAGTGTGTAAGAACTGTCCGAATGTTCTGTATTTCCGAGCGCTTTCGGAAACTAACATACACACTCTACTAAGCTGATAATTGAATCATCCTTGATAATGGCTAAAGGTATAACCGAAAGCGCTCGGAAATATAGAACATTCCGACAGTTCTTACACACTCTTTGTCCAGAAAAGAAAGCTCTTGTCAGAACACAAGAAAAATTAAATAAAAAGCTCAACCGTAGTACCTTGTCTGTCGTTTTTAATGAAACACACACACACACACACATATATATATATATATATATACACACACACACACACACACACACATACATACATGCTAACTAATGGAGATGTAAAGTATTAAAAGACTAAAGTATTCTCTTTCTGAAATGGATTCGACTGGAATTCGAACTCGGCTCTCCGATTCCTCAGTCCGAGCCACTATCCATTACTCCACCGTGCCTCCTTCAGAGTAATCACTCAATTTCATGCGAATGGAAAACGTGAATAGAAAAAGCCGCTGGAGTTTAGCATCAGCCTAGCAGACATAAAAGGTTCTCTTTGGTGATTAAATGAAAGCAGTTTTGCTTTTGAAGCGTTAAAACGTACAGGCCATTTCTTGATCCAGTTAACCGCTTTTCGAGTGCAGTTGTCAGTTTTACTATTTCAGATCTGTCGAAACTCGATACGAAGACATGAGTAAAATAGTTTTGTCATTTGCATAAATAGCCGGTTGGGAATTGATAGCATCGCGAAAGTCGTTAATTAAGATAAAAATTAGCGTCGCTCCAAGGATATTTTAGTTGTTGCTGCTGTTGGAAGTCTTCAAATAATGTTGTTTCCATTATTTGGTAAATTTCTTTGTTTGTGATACTGTAGCGCCAAATTATACGATCTGATCATTTTTTCATTCTTACAGTGTTCATTTGCTTGAAGTTATTTTAAACCATTGATATGAGCAAACAACTGTATACTGCGAACAGTTTAGACATTTTTGAATCAATTGGACATCATGCATAATGCCCATGTGAGAGGTTAGATCTGACAAAGCTATTTAAGTATATGACTTGAATTCTTAGGTTAATGTTTTGGTTTCGTAACATCTTACAGTAGGTACCTCCATGAGATCGCTAACAAAAAGCATATCAAGATGAAAAAGACGCCAAACTTGACGAAAACAAAATTTTATCGCCTAAATGTTCATGTTATTATTAAGAGGAAAGATCAAAGTGTTTTGGGTGTATTTTTTTACATTTTCAGTCGTTCCTCTTAATTGTCTGAAATTTTCGTTAAAAATCTTGCTTTTTTTTGAGTCAGTAAAATTGACAGATAATCGATCATGTCAACCATTTTTTCCATTTTATAAAAAAAATGTAAATCTCAGTTTGAAATTCTTTTAAAAATCAATTATAATTTTTTCAAAACTTATTTTAAGAAAACCAGAAATTATAATGTTCATTTAAAATATTTTGAACCAAGCTTAACTTAGCTTCTGCGTCGAAAAGATGTGGTTTGAAAATAAAACAAAGCAGGTCATAACATTTCGCGTCACTTGACAGGTGATGAATGACGTATTGACGGATTACGTGAGGGTAATTTGTTTTATGGAAGGAGAGAAGTGAAATTATTTAGATTCAAGTGAACAAATTATTTACCTCGTTATTTTTAAGGAAAACTTTCAGCGCTCTAATTTTTTTTGTACTTAGCTTTAGCCTTTACATTTATGATGCTTTATGGAAAATATATTATAAAGAAATTAAAATAAGACTGTTGAGAGTGAGATTAAATTTCATAAGAAAGGTACCCAATTAATTTATAGGTACCTTTCTTATGAAATTTTATCAGAAGTGTACATAAAATACTATAATTTTATGTACATTTATTACATTTTACTGTGTTATTTGTATTTCCAAATTGTATTTATTTTATTAATTTTGATATTTCACTTATGGAAAAATATTATAACTGAGATTAATATAAAAATAAGATCATATAAATTTCATAAGATGATACTGATACTTGTAGGTACCCTTCTCAGTTGAAATTGAAAAATCAAATTAACTTCTCCACACAGCGGAGAACAATGCTTAACTCAAATAACGCAACTTAATTGTATTCTGGTTGGTATTCCGTACTTTATAATTACAGCCCGATTATAAACACAAAATTGCATTTCTTAATTACTGAGGGTCTTCTGATTAGTCAAAACGATATAATTTGCAATGTAGTAAAAACAGGACATTTACGAAAGTGGATGCCACTTTTAGCTAATTTTATAATATTTTAACAACTTAATTGTAAAAATCTATTATAATTAACAAAAATAACAAATAATTGTATTAAAAATTCGTTTTTCATCGAAAATCTTTTGATACATGACTGACGACGCAGATTTTTTTTGTTACCATTTCTTTCTGCGGTAGACCAGTTGCCATCCAAGGCTAAGGAACCTGGTATGTCCTGCTATTTATCCATAGCTGGGGGGATAAGAGGATTCATACATTTCTCAAGGGTATTAGCACGTAAGTGAATGTAATGGATTCGACTGGAATTCGAACTCGGCTCTTCGATTCACCAACCCGAGCCGCTAGCTATTACTCCACCGTGCCTCCTTTAGAATTGCTTAATTCCATATTCTGAATTTTTAATATGGATTCAGGGTACGTGCCACCACTGCTTTAATTCCAATTCCAGATCATAGTTTCTGTTTTGGAATGGTTTATCTTAAGTCCTTCTTTCTGGAACTTTGAGTTTTTTTGTTCAAGATCATTCTTATTCCAACTAAGAATACCATCGCCATGTGCATAGCACCTTCATTAATGGTTACACCGGCATCTAAAGGGAAAACAGGAATAGAAAGATAGATAGATAGATAGATAGATAGATAGATAGATAGATAGTCAGTCTTCAAAGTTCTTTGTGATTCTGTAGCGCCAGTCTATGAGATCTGATGAAAGATAGTTCTCTTTAAGATCTTCAGGGTTCATTCGCTTATATGAGAAAATGGTTGTATATGAGAAAATGGTTGTATATAGCAGACATTTTAAACATTTCTGAGTCAGGTGGGCGTCATGCATGATTCCCATGTGAGAGTTTAGATCCGACAAAGCAATTTAAGAACATGACTTCAGTTCTTAGTTTAACGCTCCTGTTATGTCGCCGCTTGCAGAGTTGAACAAATCTATGCCAATCACGGCTCATTTCTATGTTAACTGATCCATAGGACGAGGTATTTGAAGTGTTTAGTATTTAATAATTCCACATACTGAATTTATATGATGGATTCAGGGCATATGCCATCATTGCTTTCATTACAAGTTCAGATTATGGATTCTGTTTTGGCAAGGTCTTTCTTGAGTTCTGTTTCTTGGAATTAGTAGGGAATGTTGAGTTTTGTCTTTAAGTTGGAATCTGGAGTTGATCATGATTTCTCCCGTTTCGTTAAAACAAATGATCTGAAAATAACTTGAGAGTTAAAATTCATAAATTTCACTTTCTTACCGCTGTGTCTTTTCTATCAATACATTCATAGTAATTATTCGGGTGAGCTCTTCACTATGGTACCTCGACATTTTGAATTTAAGCGCAGTACTAGACTGGCGCCGAGGTCTCATCAATTTACACTTGAGCTATCTAGATGTAACCGTAAATTCTATGCTAACAGTTTCTTTTCTCACACTTCGCCCTTCCTGCTTCATGCTTTCCAGCCAACTTTAATCTACGAAAATTTAAATGCTACGTCAATCTCTATCTACTGTCCTCTTGATTATTCTTTTCTCCTTATTCTCATTACTAATGTTTCTGTTCTTAATTCTTCCACACCCTGAAACCCTTTCTGACTTTGTGGCCTTAATGTCTTGCATGTCAGTGATACCAATTTTAAAAAAAAGAACCATTATTTATTTATGACTCAACCTAATAAAATTCAATTTACAGAACAACGAGAAAGATAGCGCGCTCGAACAAAAACTGATACTGAAAGTCCATTATACGCAATCAAAGTCTGTAACATTGCTTCGAGTTACTACATAAAATAGTAAATATTAACTTGCGCATAAAACTATTTGATCGTTATTATCTAGATACAAATTTTCATGAAAATAAAACATATGTACTTAGTTAATATAGAATAAAATCCAAAGAAGAATCATCAATATTATTGGTCCTGATCTGGTGGTTCGTCTTCAGTCACTTTCTCATTGCCGTAAAATTGCCCCTCTATGTCTTTTCTATATATACTTTCATGGTAATTATTCGGATGAGCCCTTCGCTATGCAAGCAATGTGGCACCGCCGCTGACGAAGGCTGAACAATGTGTGTTCCACAGCTTACTAGGTGTTATGAGAGTCGTGATTTGGACGACACGTCAGAAGAGATTCTATGGAGGCGAGAAGTTCACTTTTTCCCAACTGATCTTGTACTTTAAGCATCAGATTAGGACGGAAAGGCTGCGGCTCACTTCATCAGAAATTGGCAAAAGGTGGGTGAATCTTGCACGTTTGTGTCGTGTGAAAGGGGCTGACCTGGAGTAGCACTTTGATGCCGGTTAGGCATCAGGATATTGCTCTTCCTGGGTTGAACTTGTGCAACCCATCCAGAAATTAGGCTAGATTAGGTTTCAGTTTTGATGCTTTAGTTTCTTTTTCTTTCAGTTAACTTAGCTAGGGTATGTATGCTCATTGGCCCACTTTTATTTCTATCCTTATTTTTCTTTAAGTTTAATTCCCCATCCCCTCCCTTGTTAGGTGGTCAGTGATGTCAGTTCTCCAGTGGATACTGGGCGCCTTTCGTTTCGCGTGTGTGTTTTCGTATTTGTTGTTGTGTCTGAATGAGTGCATGTCAGTGTGAGTGTTTGGGATGAATGAATGTTTTATATTATTAGAGTCCCGCATTGATTTCGGCCAGTGAACTGATATTTCTGCCACATTTAGTGATTGTGGGTTTTTTATTACTAACATTATTTTCTTTAGTTTCTTGTAGTTTTGTTTCATATTATAAATAATCATTGAGGCTAGTTTTTAGAATTGTTGTTTTATCCCCCCCCACACAGACAATGAGTTGTACATATGGGGACTAGTTAGGATTTTCATAGAGACAATGAGGTATTATGGTGAATGTAGTAGGAAAGGTACGTAAGAATCTGTTGTTTTGGTGTAAGGAATATTGTATGTATGATTGGGTCAGTGTTTGTGGCTAGCTAAATGTAAAGTTAAAACAGAAGTAGACCGTCCGTTCCCCAATCCCCATTTTTGGCCTTATGCCACATTTCTGTGTGTATATCAGAATAAATATTGCCCTTCGCTATGGTATCTAGATTTTTTGAATTTAAGCGCAGTACTAGACTGGTGTCGAGGTCTCATCACTTTACACTTGAGCTGGCTAGATGTAACCGTAAATTCTATGCTAACAGTTTCTTTTCTCGAGCTTTTCGCTTGTGGAAACCCCTTCTGGCTCCATGCTTTCCAGCCAACTTTAATCTGCAAAAATTTACCTAGTACAACAGAGTAAACTGTTTTCCATAGCGCGATGTATGCAAACCAGTTTGGTGACAACACGGCATGGATGCATCGAGGGCTTCCTGGTCTGCATTCAACGACCAGAGTGCAGGGTTCCCTCAACTGAATTAATGGCAACGTGTCAGTGACCAAGGCGAGCCTTCAAGGTGGATTAAAAAGGCGTTGATTTGACATGGAGGGTAATTGGTAACATCAGGTCTACTTGACCAACATATGTTTACTCAGCAGACGAAGCGGGAATTTGAATCCGAAATTGGTCATAATTTGATCCGTACAAAATTGGAACAAGGAAGAAGTGATAAAACATATTGAGAACAAAGCGAAATAAAAGGAGAAAGAAGTGTGGATGCGAGACGAGAAAATAAAGCTGAAAAGAAAAAGCGAGAGGTAGAGAGAGTGAGAGAGAGAGAGAGAGAGAGAGAGAGAGAGAGAGAGAGAGAGTGTGTGTGTGTGTGTGAGAAAGAGAGAGAGAGAGAGAAAGGATACGAAAGGGAGAGAAAGACTAAGAATGAGAAAAAACTAAAAGAGAAAGAGAAAGACTAAGAGAGAGAAAAACTAAAGGAGAGAAAAGACTAAGAGAGAGAGAAAGACAAGGAGAAAGAAAAAGACTAAGAGAGAGAGAAAGACTAGGAGAAAGAAAAAGACTAAGAGAGAGAGAAAGACTAGGAGAAAGAAAAAGACTAAGAGAGAGAGAAAGACTAAGTGAGAGAGAAAAAAGTAAGAGAGAGAGAAAAGACTAAGAGAGAGAGAAAGGCTAAGAGAGATAGAAAGACTAAGAGAGAGAGAGAGAGACGACGACTAAGAGAGTGAAAATACTAAGAAAGAGAAAGACTAAGAGAGTGAAAAAATACTAAGAGAGAGAGAGAAAAAAAACTAAGAGACAAAAAGTCTAAGAGAGAGAAAAGACTAAATAAGAGAAAGAAAAACTAAGAGAGAGGGAGAGAGAGAAAGATTAAAAGAGAGAAAAAGGGTGAAGTGTGAGATAGAACTAGAGAAATAAGGAACCATAAGAAAACAGATGGAAGAAAGAGGAAAACTAATATGAGAGAAAGAGAGAGAGAGAGAGAGGAAAGAGAGAGAGGAAAGAGAGAGAGAGAGAGAGAGAGAGAGAGGAAAGAGAGAGAGAGGAAAGAGAGAGAGAGAGCTAGGAAGGAGTAAGAAGAAGAAAATATATTAGGGAACGTGTAATTAGGGGAAAATGTCTGTAGGAAACAAAGCACGAGAGAACGACAGACATTGAAAAAAAGACAGAATGGGAGAAACAAGTGGGGAGATATAATAGTGAGAGGGCGAGAAGAATGGAAAGGAAAGTGCAAGTAAAAGTGGAACCAAGAAAGAAAGAGGGAGAGAGAGAGAGAGAGAGAAAGTGGGAGATGGAGTAAGAGAAAGAGAGCGGCTAAAGTGTAAAAGAGAGAGGTTTGAAAATTTGTTAACAACTGTTACAGAGGGGGCACAGGTGTCGTTTCCACCTTGACTCACACATCAATTAAAAAAAGATTCATTTCAAAATTGACACAATGATTACCGTCAGTAATTTCGACCCAACCAAGCAGCCAAGAACAATAACAGCAGCATTTCAGACATATCCCGCCATTCTTTGGAAGGAATAGCCCGCCCACTCGGTATGAGAATACCATGGACTGAACACGTGATCAACGAGGAAACCTTAAGTGAAGGGAAAATCAAAAGGACGCTTGAACTTAAAATCAGAAAGAGACAGCTGACATTTTAGGAACAACTAATGAGGAAAGAAGGCTTGGAAAATTTAACACTCACATATTTAAGCAGGAGAGACGTGCGGAAACAGTGAGTTAACGGGCGGAGACAAAGAGGTATGGCAAAGAGTCAAATGGTGTTTAAGACTTGGAGGAACAGTAGGTTATGGGGAGACACACATTCTTAAGGGACATAATGCATAAAAGAAGCTTTGGTTAGTCATTCACAAGTTACATTACCTCGGTTACAGAAACGGTCACCAATCTAAATAATGCCCTACTTCCTGGAACTCTTCATAAAGAATCTCGAGTTTTTTATATTCAAGATCATTCGTATTCCAACTAGAAATACCTTCGATATGAGCATAGCTCCTTCATTAATGGTTACACTGGCATCTACAGGGAAAACAGGAATAGATAGATAGATAGTCTTCAAATAACTTCTGTTTCTGTTATTTGGTCAAGTTCTTTGTGATTCTGTAGTGCCAGTCTATGAGATCTGATAAAAGATAGTTCTCTTTAAGTTCTTCATGGTTCATTCGCTTATATATGAGAAAAACAGTTGTATATAAGAAAATGGCTGTATATGAGAAAATGGTTGTATATAGTTGAGAGTTTAAAATTTCTGAATCAATTGGGCGTCATGCATGATTCCCATGTGAGAGTTTAGATCTGACAAAGCAATTTCAGAACATGACTTCAGTTCTTAGTTTAATGCTCCCGTTATGCCGCCACTTGCAGAGTTGAACAAAAGTATGCCAATCACGGCTCATTTCTATGTTCAATTTTTTATGCTAATTCTATTATAATTTATCTATAGGCCGAGTTATTTGAAGTGTTTCGTATTTACTAATATCACGTTCTGAATTGTTATGATGGATTCAGGGCATATGCCATCATTGCTTTCATTACAAGTTCAGATTATGGATTCTGTGTTGGCAAGGTTTTCTTGAGTTCTGTTTCTTGAATTGGTAGGGGATGTTGAGTTTTGTCTTCTGAGTTGGAATCTGGAGTTGATCATGATTTCTCCTGTTTCGTTAAAACAAATGATCGAAAAATAACTGGAGAGTTTAAATTGATAAATTTCACTTTCTTACCGCTGTGTCGACACGAACATAGTTTCCTCATTACTGGTTACACTGGCATATGCAGGGAAAACAGTAATAGATAGATAGATAGATCGTCTTCAAATAACTTGGTTTCTGTTATTTGGTAAATTTCTTTTGATTCTCTAGCGTCAGTATATGAGATTTGATGAAACTTAGCCATTCAGTTTTCAGTTGCTTATATATGAGAAAACCGCGTCATATACCAGAGTTTAAAGATACGAAAAATTTAGTTGGACGTCATGCATGATTCCCATGTGAGAGTCGAGATCTGACAAGGCAATTTAAGAACATGATTTCGGTTCTTACTTTAATCAAGAGGTCATTTACAAGTTACATTACCTAGGCTACCGAAACGGTCACAAATCTAAATAATTTAAAGAACCCTTATTTTTAAACCCAATGATTAAACAAAATTCATCTTTACAGAACAACGAGAATTAGAATTAATTCTTCATTTAGATTTGTTTAGTTGTGTAGACATCATGTCAGTATCAAGCATGGCAGATGGAAGATTGACCTGAGGTAATTCCCCAACCACTGAGTACAGTATCATGAGACTTCACAGTTGCATATGGGTTGCAAGTGTGAGAAATAATCGTTGTTGTAAACTAGAAAAGGTTATTGAATGAGGAATAACAAAAACGGAGGTTGGAAATGAAATGGTAATCTTTATAACATTAACAAAATACAATACTCGCCAGCGGCGTGAAGTAGGTATGTAACATTGTATCCTAACCCCACTGGACCCACACACTCTACAAGACTGGATGTTGGTCCGGTATGGTCCTGTATTACAGGTTAGACATAAGTCTCCATTTCCCAATGTCAATTCGAAGTCACCCTCCAGCCACGTTGTGATTGTTTTGATACTGGAGAGTGGTCATCAGATCGTAGAAATCCGGAAGTTCTCCTTTGGTCCGCCTGCGAGTTCGTCGGGTTAACAAAAAAAATAAATAAATATAACCAAGTCGATTCGATTTTGGAAGGACAAAAGTTTTTTCTTTACATATAAAAGCAAACACAAAAAAATCATTCTTGTTGCACAAGGTTGAATGTTTCTTGTATGTGAACAATAACCTGGAACAAGCACTTCGAATAATTTCGGTAAGGAGAGATGTGGCTTCGTCTTATCCCTTTTGGTCTGTTCTTAGCAGAACTATTACAGTCTTCGATGTTTCTCTTTGTAGTCTTTAGTTTCTTTGGTAGTAGTATTAGTAGTAGCAGAAGTAGTCGTACTTTTAGATTTTAGATCGATATTTCGTTTAATTCCCCATCCCTCCTTTCAGCAACACAGTGCGGACGTTCTCCTTATCAATCGTTGACGTCTCTTCACTCAATTGTTTTGAATTTGAAGACAGGCGAACCAAAAACTCTCCTCCTCTTCCAGTTGTCGCCTCACGTTCGCAGATGAATGTCTGTTTTTCTAGTGCAAACGTCCTGACATTGATTTCTATAGTGAACTTTATTTCTGAAAAATGAACAATTTACTTGTTCACATGGGTTTGTTCACAAATAAGACACTATTTTTATCACCTGTAGTTTAATTATTCTGCCGCTCTTTTGTAAACTACAGGAGATTCTTGTTTTAAAAATACATTTGAGATCAAAACATTTTTACTGTTAACTTAGTTTTTATAGTGTCAAAATACATTTCTTTGTTTAAAAGTTCCAAATTATTATGATTCCAGTAATTTTCTATTAGTAATCTGATATCCTTTGTACACTTACAAAAGATTTATTTCGTGTTTTAAATTTGTTTTCTGTAAGGGAATATTTTACATTTCAAAGTTTTTGTGCATATTAACATCTTGGTAAATTGAAAACATCTCTTTCCACTTGGTGCTTTTTGGTTTATACCATATCCTCTTGTTATTATCATTATTATTATTTAGGCGGTGATATTGTTTTTTGAAGGTAAACCATGCTAGTGGTGGATGACTTAGGACAGCATATTGCACTTCACCACTTTAACAATAATGTCAACGTATTAATTTCTTTTGGGACATACCCATTAGTGCTCATAGGTATGGTATAAAAACAATCGTCTTTCTTTGTTGTATAAAAAACATCCGCTCACTGTGGCGTTAGTAGAGTCTCAGATATCGCAAACGAGAATGTATGGTCCATGTTTCAGATGAGGTGCATTGTGACCAGGTGCAGGGTTCACACACACTGGCTAATGAAAATGAATTTAATAAAATATAATGTTAAAATGAGAGAATAAGTCTTGTGTTATTTGGTCAGCATTTTTATTACATTAGCTTATGAAAAATTTCGACTTGGCTATAATTGTCGTAAAGAAAATACTCTGTATGTTTTTATTAGAATGTAACAAAAATTAACAAAAAACAAACAAATTAGGAATCATTGACATGTGCTTCCGATAACACTTTTTATATCATTGTGCTGGTAATAAATGTTCTATGCAGTTTCATTTCAAGTCACACATCCCAAATGTCTATCAATAGCATTATATGAAATCCCGGCTGTGTATGGCTGTTTTTGGTAGAAATAACAATACCCTCCAAGGTTTGGTAAAAAAAGGAATCGAATAGCTCCACAAAAAGAGAATCGGGCATGAGACAAAGACAGTGTCTTCTCCCCAAATTTATTCAAGCTCTCCAGCGACGCCATCTTAAGTGAATTAAAGACTCTATCCGGAGTTGTTATCGATTGACGTAATCTTAACGGTATAAAATACGAAGATACAGGAGCCCCTGGATAGGGTGTTAGAAGAAAGCGAGACAAAAAGAATAACAGTCAACTGCAAGAAGACAGTGCATGGCAAGAGAAAAAGCCGAAGATGCGAGATACAAATTGGAGATATCAACATCAAGCAGGTGAATCAGTTTAAATATCTGGGAAGAGTTTTAAAAAAGGATGGAAAATCTGGCACCGAAATCCGAAGTACGTAGAACTAAGGAAAGAAGCATTCTAAAAGCTAAGTAAGGTGATGAGAAATGAAAAAAATCGTTAGAAACAAAGAAAAGAGTGTTGGATTGCTACGTGCCTCTTATATGGGATTGAATACTGGACAATCTCCCCACGGATGAGGAGAAAACTAGGGCCAACTGAAATGTGGTTCCACAAAAAAAAAAAAAAAGAAAAAAAAAACTGAAAATTCCTGACGTAAAGAAACAAAAAAAAGGAAGCCTTAAAAAAATGGCAACAGAAACAACACACCCGGAAAAGACAGCTGGAATTCTTTGATCACATAATGAAAGAAGGTCTTGGAAAACTCTGACGGGGCAAGAAAGATAAGGGAAAGGCAACGACCCGTTTGCCTTGACGAACTGGTGCGAATAGATGGCGGAACGGGG